AGTCGGACAAGATCTGGTCTGGCAGGCTTCGTGTTGTTTCCTGTAAGGACCGGTGTGAGATCCGATTGGAAGATCCGAATTCCGGCGATTTGTTTGCGGCTTGTTTTGTTTATCCTGGCCAGAGGGAGAGCGCTGTGGAGTCGGTGCTCGATTCGTCGAGGTATTTTGTTTTGAAAATCGAGGATGGCACGGGGAAACACGCATTTATAGGGTTAGGGTTTACAGAGAGGAACGAGGCGTTTGATTTCAATGTGGCGTTGTCGGATCATGAGAAGTATGTGAAGAGGGAGATTGAGAAGGATGCCGATGAAGCCAGCGACGAGAGTCATATCAATATCCATCCTGCTGTAAATCACAGATTGAAGGTATGTATCATCACTTACAGTTATGCGTATAAGATTATATAGTCGACATTTTTCAGATCAGTAGCTGAAATGATCTAATCCCTAGAAGTATTGAAATGGATTTGAGCTCATTAGAGAGTACTAACTTGAAACATTACGTATTTTAGGAGGGTGAAACAATTCGGATCACTGTAAAAAACAAACCTGCAAGTGGAGCGGGGATGCTTTCATCTGCGGGATTATCGGAAAAGATTAAGCCACTCAGCCTTGCTCCTCCACCTGAGAAGGTTAAGTCTAAGCCTCTAAGCCTTGCTCCTCCACCTGTTGCCTCCGGGAAAATTAGGTCTCCAATCCCACCTCCACCCAATGATCCTGCTGCTGTTCGGATGACTTCTACAACTCATAATGTTGCTGCAAGGAATTCTACAGATGCTTTCACAGATTTTTCTCAGCTGGAGGTAAATCTTTTTTATTAGTTCATCTCCTTGGCTACATTTATGTTCTTCATATCTTAATTCCAACTGAAAGAGAAGAAAAATCATGCAGAGGAATCTTCCTTCAAGTGGTGGATCTGGATCAACAACTCAAAGCAAAAGCAAAAGCAGTGCAGCTGGATGGGCAGCATTTTGATTGTATCAGATGAGGTGTAATACTTGGATGATATCTTTTCTTCTGTTATGTTAATGATGAGGAAAGCAAGCAGAATAGATGACATGATACAACAGAAGGTAGCAATCAATATACAGTGACAGTCCATTATTGGAAATAATTGTAATTGTCTGGAATATATATTCGTGACCTTGTATTTCATAATTATATGTTACAATTATCTGCCAACATTAGTCCAATTTCACTCTGACGTTAAGATATTGTCTTCCCATTGTTTCCTTCACGGTGAGTCTGTTGTTGCCTTGTTCCTCACCCTGGAAGGAACCTGTTTTGAAGATACTTGTTAGTTTGAAACATATAATATAGTGAACCAAGTTTGAGTTTATAAAAATTCAAATTGAGCTCTTCTAGCTCTTACTTAATATGCACTTTTGTTGTGTATTTTTTTCCGAGGTTTTTCTTAGGGAAAATGACATAAAAGCCCTTAAGTTTTCACAAAAATGTCGGTTTTACCCTTGGACGTGTTTTATGTTCATTAAAGCCCGAAGTTTTGTTTAATTTGTTTATTTTTACCCTTGTAGCCGGTTTTCAGGTAACCTACCGGTTACCTAATGCCAGTAAAGCCCTTGAATTTTCAAAAATGTTCAGATTTACCCTTAAGTTTTTCAAAAATGTTCGGATTTACCCTTACATTGATTGATTGATTGTTGTTGTTGTTATTATTATTATTATTATTATTATTATTATTATTATTATTATTATTATTATTGCATTTTTAAATGTATAAAAATATTTTATACACACATTTTTAAATATATAAAAATATTTTTACTAATATAAATTATTTTTTAAATATATGTACTTGTATTTAGTATTTATATACATTTGAAAACCCCTAAATCTTCATCTATAATTGTTGAATCGAACAGAAAAAGCTTGATAAACTAAAAATTGTCGTCAATGACTGATTTTGCAAAAACAAATGCTTCAGATCAATATAAAAAATGATGCATTTCGTGATCTTTTTTTGTGAACTTACAACAAATATAAATGAAGTTTACACTCGTATATGACATTTCGTTATCAATTTTTGAGATAAAAATAATTAAAGAATTATTTTAAGTTGATAATACTTAATTTTTATAGTGATCAAGTGTTTTTGTCGAGGGTTTTTTTAATTATATTATGTATTTTCCATTTACGAGTGTTATTTGTTGATCATTTATTGTTATCTACTCGCTATTAACCTAATATAGTTGAATAATAGAGGTTTTTTCAAATTTTATACTAAATCTTATCTGTAATCGAGTGTTTTTATTGAGGTTTTCTAATTACGAGGGTTTTATAATTGTTACATTATGTTTTTAATTAACGAATATTTATTTTGCTTATCTATTTAGTATAATGTTTGATAATAAATACATATTTATACTTGGTAATATGTACAAATACATATAATTATATCTTTTATATAATATAAACCATATAAATATGTATTTTATTATTTATATGTATATAATATATTTTTATAGGAAATAAATATATATTTATACTTATACCTACTAAATACAAATAAATACATTTTTAAAAATGTGTGTATAAAATATTTTTTATACATTTAAAAATGTATTAATAATATAATAATAATCATAATAATAATAATAATCTAATAATATGTATAAAAATGTATTAAAAACATATGAAAATTTTTTATTCATTTAAAAATGTATGTAAAAAATATTTTTATACAATTAAAAATGTATTAATAATAATAATAATAATAATAATAATAATAATAATAATAATCAAAATAACAATCAAGGTAAGGGTAAATCCAAAAATTTTTGAAAAACTTAAGGGTAAATCCGAACATTTTTGAAAATTCAAGGGCTTTACTGGCATTAGGTAACCGGTAGGTTACCTGGAAACCGGCTACAAGGGTAAAAATGAACAAATTAAACAAAACTTCGGACTTTACTGGACATAAAACACGTCCAAGGGTAAAACCGACATTTTTGTGAAAACTTAAGGGCTTTTATGTCATTTTCCCTTTTTCTTATCTTCGAGCTATTCAATGCAAGAAATATCTTCTATTTATCCAAGGTTTTTTTTTTCGTGATTCTGTGTGGTTAAAAAGAATGATGTTTGTGTTGATAAAGTGTTGTATAAATAACACTTCTTTCTTTCTATAGTGAACAAGATTATAACGACAGTTTTACCCTTACATTCTAAAAAAGGTATCACAATATTCATCAATTTTAATGTGAGAAAAGTTTTGAGTAAAAAAGAAAAGAAAGCAAATAGGTAAAGAATCTGGGTCTTTGATAAATTAACCAATGTTTTTTTACTTAATCCATCAAGTCACTGTATCAGATTAAGTAAAACAAAAGTCATGTATGTAAACTTGTTACGGATAAATTAACCAATGTTTTTTTACTTAATCCATCAAGTCACTGTATCAGATTAAGTAAAACAAAAGTCATGTATGTAAACTTGTTACGGCTCAATTGGCAAAAAGGTGTCGTAAATGTCAAGTCAATGCTCTCGGTTATATTGCTTCTTTGTAATTGTTGTTTTAGGGGGTGTTTGGATAAATAGTTTTTAGCTTATTAGCTTATTGTTTATTTGCTTATTGCGGTGAGAATAAACATTTTTTCTAAAATGTGTTTGGATTAGCTTATTGCGGTGGAAATAAGTAATAAGCAATAAGCATTTTTAAGTGTTTGGCAAACAAAACAGTTTATATGAATAAAATGACCAATAAGCAATAAACATTCTCCTCTTGCTTATTAAAACCAGCTTATTCCTACCGCAATAAGCTGATTTTTAATGACTCCTATCCAAACACTTAAATTTGCTTATTGCGGTGGGATTAAGCAATAAGCAATCTATTTTTTCCCTATCTAAACACCCCCTTAATGTACCTTTATTAGGTCAAGTCGGGTATGTATGTTCAGAGTGAGTCAAACTGGGAGCTTATTATTCTTATTTATATTTTTGTTTGTCTGATGTTGTACTGAAGCAGTCTTATTTAGATGAGACTGGTAGTATTGTTGTTGTTTTTGCTAAATGAATAAAATATATTTATTTAAAAAAATAGAGAAGGCTAAGTTTAATCTAATTAATGTGAAATTTGTTGTTTGAACTCTATATAATAATTTTAGCAAATAATAGAGCAACACTTGAACTCTTTTACCCGTAATGTCAGTATTTGTCTTTTGGATGGAAGAGGTATTGACATGCAAACACTTGTATTTTTTTTTTTATAAAAATGCTGTAATAAATACAATACACAAATGAAAAAAATATTACTATCGGGTTAAACCTTTGACCCATCCATTTAACGGCTTGACGCATTTGACTTGCCTCTTTTCTCCTTTTAGGTGCACGTTTTTACTTCTGTCGGTCCCTTTTTTTAAAAACTTGACCTAAATCAACCTGTTTTCTATAAATATATCAAAAGTCAAAACTGTCACCTCCATTTGTAAAAATTTCGGCTATCCCAAGCGAAAAAGTTACCATCTTTCAAATAAAAACTTATCAAAAAGTTGTCACAGGTTCAACGACCCCGTTTTCAAACAGAAAAATGATACAACTGATAGTCAGTCATCGTCTTTTATGTCTATTTCTTTTTCTTCTTTAAATGGTATTGTTTTTTCAAGATTCGCATTATACATAAAGTAATCTCTTTCTTTTTTGTTTCCCACAATCAAAATTTCAATTGCGTTAATGTGTATTACCAATCCTAACAAGGGTAAAATTAAAAAGAGAAAAAAAAAAACACTAATCTAATTCAGAGGCAAAAAATCTTCAAATTCATGGTAAAAAAAATACCTCCGAAAGTCATTAATGCTATCGATACTCAGATTTCAAAATCCAGGAAGAGCCATTCGGAGTTTTTTGCAAAGTTGCAATCTCCTTCAAAAGAGACTTAAACACAGGCAAATCCTTTGAGGGAATCCTATCTTTAAAATGGTCCACTATACTACCCGAATCAGTGGTCCCACCTCTTTGCTGCAAAAAACTACAAATTTGTCGAATCAGAACCTCCGGCTGCACCCCACCCAAATTCCGCGGTCTAACCGATGCACCCAATGCATCACCAACCGCTTGCTCTTGGGTCCCTCTAATTTTAGCCAATAACTCAGATGAAGATAATGCTTTCCCACCAGATGCTCCAACAACAAACTTAGAAGATCCTGATCCAGATCCATGTTCGATTCTGGTTTTAGCAACCAACTTTGAGTTGACCATTGACCCGAATTTCCGACCACCACCCGTGGGTGCACCCGCGGTTCCTGATTTCCCGGTCCAGGTTGGAACCGCGATGCTTTCACGGCTCCTAAGCATTCGCGACTGGCGTAATGCTTCCGCTGCTCGATGTGCAACTTGTGAAGCTTGTTCATCAAGTTTCACCTTTTCCTCATCATTATTAGCATTCATTATCACATCATGGTTCACCGCACTCTGAAACATTTATATAAAATGTTACTACTATTATTTATGTTTAATAAAAATGATGGAAAAAGAAAGCAAGCTTACATGAATCCCTTGAGCATCAAAGAGAGAGCGCAAGATATTTGTTTCCTCTTCTACCCCTCCTTCATTCTTGTCATCAATCTTTTCCTTTTCCTTTTCGTTTTGTTTCTTTTTGGCGAGTGTTTCGGGATTTTCATTTTGGTGGACGATGTTTACATCTTCCGATAATTGACCGAAAAGATTTGATGTTTCGGTGCTTCCGTTTTCTTTATCATCATTCAATGTGAAGAGATCTTTCATGTCACGGGCTTTAAAGAATCTTCTTTGTTGTGGGTTTTTCAAGATTTTGTTGGTTAAAAAATGTTTGTATATTTGTCGATGATATACTTTTTCTTCTATTGTTCCACGCGTTATTAATCTGTAAATCGTTACATCTTTTGTTTGACCAATACGCCATGCACGCTCCCTCGCCTGAAAATCACCAATGTAAAACAAAATTTTAAAAAATTATAACAAAGTTGGATAAAAAGACGTAAATGCCCTTCTCATACCAACCTGCATGTCGGTAGAAGGGTTCCAATCGGGATCAAATATAATGACTCGATTTGCACCGGTTAAATTCGTCCCCAATCCACCAACTTTAGTAGTCAAAATGAAGATGAAGATATCGGGAGAATTATTAAACTCATCCATTAAAGTCATCCTTTGTTTCACAGGGGTTAAACCGTCCATTCGTCTATACGTATAGGAATCACCAATCAAAAAACTCTCAAGAATATCAAGCATCTGTTGAGTCTGAGCAAAAAGAAGAACACGGTGGCCT